CCAGAAATAGACTAGGTATGGACTTGAAACACCTTCCCTGTACTCTGTATCTCCTTTGCCACTCAAAAATGGTATTTTGTAAAGTGTATGGTATATTACAAATAGGACAAGTCAGCATGCATAAAAAGTGGTATCTGCATCAGTTCTGAACATGCTGAAAATTGCATTAAGTTGAACTTCATAAGAATGCTACTTGGTACAGTAAAACATTTCCATTCCTACTGGCAACATCTGACAAATACTTCATGGCACTGCACTTAGTTTAGGGAAAGAAATGTTACTCCTAGTGAATTGTTTGTATCCGTTTCATGTTGGCATTTGTAGTTTGTATTTTGAATTGTTAAGTGCTGTTTATACAGTATAATCAATGCTTTCCCAACTTGTTTGGTTGCCCTCCATGGCTAAATATTTGTGGAACAAGATGTTTACTGTAACTATGTTTAAAAATCGATAAGGCAGCATACTTTTACTTCATCTTCTGCCAGATAGTGAATGCCAGGTGGTATGGGGGTCAGAAATCCAGCACTAAAAAAGAAAAAAAAAAGCAAAAAAAAAAAGCAGAAAAATACAGAAAAGCACAGAAGTATGATAGAGAGTATGAGAGATTTGGCTATTATAGTTTGTTAATATATAAAGCAGCTAATACTTTTACATGAACTTTAGAAGGTATAGTATAGTTTTAACTGCTGATCACTTAAGTCAGGCTTTTGGCCACATGTACATGACTTCCCTTCTGGAATTAGCTTTACAGTTAATTTAAAACTCCTTTAGAGAGCTATTAAAAGATGCACATGGAGACAACATTTATGGAAAACAGTAGCCAATTCTAGTGACAGAACATAGACTACCAACTAATTGACATCAATTTCACACTTAACAGAATTATAGACATTTCCTCCAGGCTTTCGGTGTCCCTCAATAAGAGATTAATGATTGAAATATATTACTTAGGGCTTCCATTTTAGACCACATGCTTACTTCCTTTTTGCAATCCAGAATTTGCCGTATCAGTTTTGGACTAATCAACTGATAACAACCCCTTCCTCCAGTCCTTATTTATTAGCCCTAAACCAATCAGCTTGATTGACAACGTTTTTTTTTCTAAGCTAATTTTTCCTGAAAGCAGACCGTGTGTGCAGCTCAGTTGGATGCACGTTGCTCACAGCTTTGGAGCCTGAAAGACACTGGGGTAAAGCAAATGAGCTCTAACCTGCTGGGTTGCATCATTCCCTGTCTAATCTAGCACATCAAGAGACATTCCGAGCTGTTCAGAGGCTAATATACTCTACAGGGTGTCATAAAAGGAAGTGCAAAATATGACCTCAGGAATCTGTTATTCTTCACATATACCAAGCACTAGAAAAGATGGTTTTTTTCACTGTGTGAAAAGCAAGTCTCCTGTTGCTGATAAACCTATGTGAAAATCTGTACTAGCAGTAATTTCTGGCAGGGATATAAATTACCTAGAATGGAATTCTAAAATTTTGTGTTGACGGGAGTAACATTACTATTTGGGGAAGAGAAAACAAGAGATTATTTGCTGTTACAACTAACTTATGGAAAAAAAAACTTTAAAGAGTAAAGCTATTTTAATGGCACTGATTCAAATCCATGTTTGTATTTATGTAAACAATAGTCTTTTCCTCCTAACTTTGCTCCTAAGTGCAAGGATACAGTAGCATGTTTTCATTTGTAGCCTTCCTGTTCTCTTCAGTACCTACAGTATGTATATTACTATACTAAATGAAATAATAGATCATCTAACAAAGATCACTATGTGCAATACTGTATTTAGTGTTTCTATTCCAATTTTTTTAGAATGTTAATTTATAAGAAAATAAAAGGAATAATAATAAAATAATTGCCTTCGCTTGTTACTCTCTGGCTATGCTGTAGTGTGCTACAAACTATTTGTTCCCTAAGTACCACATCCCATTCTGGCTCCTGTGATCAAGGAACAGCCTTTGTGAAGAGAGCAGAGGAAGTAAGACTTCTCTTTGCTTGCCTTTTGGAAAGGTAGTGACAGTAATTCCCAGTTATGTGGATAGACTACCTTTTCCCCAGGTGATGGTAGTGAGAGCTCCAGGTTCTTTACCCAAGGAGACTATGTAAAACTCACTTCTCCAGCTTGTGAATGCCTCCCAGTCTTACATTTGGCTCAGGTTTCTAACCTGGTCCTACTACATTGCTGAGGTAACAGTCTCATGAAATTGCTAGTAAGGTAAAAACATGCATGCATTGAGAAGTTAATCTGCATGTTATAATCCTTTTATATATATACAAGTGTTTTAGCAACCTCCTAAAATGTTCAGCAACCTCCTAAATCTGTCACATACATACCCTTTCTACAGGATCTGCAGCATGGATGATAGAAGTTATTTCAAGCCTCTCTCTTTCTGAAGTGTCAAAGGGTTGACTGCAGCTGATGGAACTGTATTGTGATCTTACTACACATGCTGCTATAAGGATTTTTCTTTCATTTTACTCAGACACAGCCTATTTGATAGAACATGTCTCCCTTTTATACAAGTCCTCTCCAGCCTATCTCAAACCTCCATGCAAAGTAGCCCACTATGTGCAGCACCACAGCTAACCCACAGAACATCCAAAGGAAATGTTCTCACAGCACAAGTTTCACTTCTGCTCTTTGTTTTTAGCAGCATACTCAACTTTTTACAGAATTCTTGACCAATGCTCTTTTGTTTGTTTTGGGTTTTTTTTTTAAAAAGGATAGGAACCCCCCATTGGCCTCCTCTCCCCTCATTTACTGCAATCCCCCTCTTTACTGCAACATCAAGCACTCTACACTGAAGTATTGCCCCTAATTCTTCTACAAGAGTTCTCACAGACAAAATTCTGAGCCTTTGTTGATTGCTAACACCACATATTGTTCACTGTTACTTAAATGCAGCAGCAAAAGGACTTTCATACCTGAGCAGCAGATGTGACATGCTGGCAGAACAATTTGGGTTTTTATGAGGAGCTAAGAGGATTCATGTTGTTTTGCCTGCCAATTAAAGCCCTTCAGAAGCATGGCACTTTGTCACGTCGTGACACTGTAGTGAGTTACCTTTTTTTGTAGCACCTTTCATCATCCCAAAACACTTCCAAAACTTAGTTAAGTATTAACCAGCTTGGGCAGTGGGAATAATAATTAGAGGGATCTTCCACAGACTGACTTTTTTCTTGCCCATTTTTTCAGTGATCAGCTTTAAAAGTTGGAAGCAAATATTAATTTCATTGAGAGAACAAGTCATTGTTCAATAGCAAGTCATTGTGTTGCAATTATTTTGTTGCAGCCTCTAGGTTAAAAGCAAAGCCAAATTTGTGACAAATCCACTATACTAGTTACTTCAGTTAAAATTATTTTAAACTATTATGGACAGAATCAGCAAAAACTGATGAAGTTGAGTTTTTCTGAATAAAGAGTAAACAAGTCAGAAAAGGGAGAAAAGAGAAAACCATGCCCCAATACCATTCATGTCTGCCACCCATCAAGAGGATTCTCATTACAGAACAGGTTCTCTGAGTTATTCTCTTGCTTACAACTGACCCATCTGTTCCTGTATCTGATATTCTTCTTATAAGAGCATCCAGGGCTAAGTCCATTCCCTTTAAAAAATGCTGTAAAAATGCTGTGTTTCTGAACATAAAGGGTCCCTATTGCATCAACACTGTTATCTTGTTTATTCTCAGCTGCTGCTCAAATTTACCATCTTAAAAACTTCACTTGCCACCCACCCCAAACTGGGGCCCTGCCAACATGGCAGCTCAATTGTGGTTGAACTTAACATGCACTGTCTTCCTGCCTTTCCCTGTCCTGTAGCACCTGTCCACTTTAAAAAGTAACTGCATCTGTCTGACCTAAAGCTTTTCCATCTACTCAGAGAGATTCGCCTTGTTCCTGGGTTGCTTCCACGAGTGGCAGATTGTTGGATCACCGAGTATGCCTCTGGTACAATGATGGTTCAACAGCTGGGCAGCAACAGACGGAGAACTGGAGCTGGAGTCTGGGCTGTGCCTCAAGCAGCAGAGTTTCAGGTGGGTGCTGGGCCATCCATGACCTGCAAAGCAGGATACTGGCCAAGAGATGGTGGGAATGAGAGAGGGGCATTCGAGGAGGTGACGGCTGAGCTCTCTTTGAGCCAAGGGACAGAGGCGCTTGGGAGGTCTGAGCAGGGAGCCTGCCCACATCTAGGAAGCTAAGGCAAAGCAAAACACTTATTCTCTAAAGCAACAGCTACTAAAAAAAGTCTCCAAACACTGAACTGTGAGAAGATTTGGGCAAGAGACAGGGGAGGGAAGACAGCAAAGGGCTCCTACAAGCACAGTGCCATAAAGGACAGAGCCCTCCCTTGCTAGCTGTGGTCTAGGTTCTGCTTCTTTCAAGACCCATCACAGGCATCTCTCTTCCGGTCACAGGGAGGCTGATCAATCAATGTGACAGCTCCCTTCCCACACAGAAATTTTCCCTTAAGAAACTGAATTATCTCTGGGCTGGTAGGGGAAAAACACCACAAGCCCCAAAACAGTACCCCATGTTTGTACTGCCGTATGTTGAACTTATTCAAGAGCTGACAGCAACAACTAAAACTCACCTATATCTTAGGATATAACTTTTTTTTTCTTATGAGTACTTTAGTGCCTGTTACATAAGGATCTGTATATATTTTAAACAAAATTATTTAGGTCAGTTACTCCTCTTATGGCAAATGATGGCAGTGTTTCAGCCAGTGGTGGAGCTTTGTTCGTCAGTTTACCAAAAAACCCAGAATAAGTGCATGCAAAATCAACTCCAGAATCTAAGAATAATGCATTTTATTTTTCCCTCTTGCCTTCTAGGTACTTCTGAGGGGAGTGGGAAACAAGGGGAGAAGTAGTTAGGTTTTCCCAACCTGTCAGGGTGAGCCATCATTCACCTATATTTGGGAGGGTGAAAAGGAAGCTGGTTAGAGAGCAGCTGGACACAAACTGTTGAAGCAAAACACCTGGATGCCATATAACCCTAGAGTAGCTTTATTATTTAATCTATAATTTAATAGTTGACCTATAAAATAATTACATTATACTTAAAGCATTTCTTCATTTTTTGTTTTCATTTATAAAACAAGAATTAAATACAGTTTTAACCATTACAAGCTCAACTCAGTTTTTTACATAAACATAGCTCCTAGAAGGAGCTTTAAGCTGCAGCATATTCATATTGCAAACTGGTGAAAAACCCAGGCAGGACATAGCTTAAAGGTAAAGATTCTTGCACGTTTTTCTTAAGTGAATTTACTAGGGTGCTTTTCTCGCTCTGGTCTAAAGTGTCTGACTTTCAGTTGATTCCTTTCAGGTGAAGACTGAGATCCCCAGAGTCTTAGTAGACTATATTGCCACCTTCCACATCTGCACCCCACCCACACTCTCAAGACTGACCGAGTCTGAATTGTGCCCATCCTGGGGCTGGTATGATGCCACAGGGCAGCAGCAGCAGCCCCTAAAGCCTAAAGCATTCCCTGTGCCAGGAGTCTCCCTGTGCACTTGTGACACGTTGGAAGGTCAGAGCAGAAAAGCGATGTCTGTTCGTGTAACAGGGCTGCCAGAGCCGACCAACGTCCCCCTGGCCACGGCAGCCCCTGTAAACCGCTTGGGGCTCTTGTGGAGATCAGTCCTCAAAGCCTCTTAGGGAGGCCTGTGTCACATAACGGGGAGCTGTGGCTCTGAAGCCCCGGCCGGCTGGTGACTGAACACGTTAACCCTTTGAAGTGGCTGCGTGCACTGAGGCTGCTGGGGAGAGCTCAGCAGCAGGCTGCAGATGCTGAGCAGTGTGACAGGCACAGGGAGTCGGCGTGTCATCTTTAATTTGTAAGCTTCAGACAACTGCGTGTGCACTAGCTTTGGTTTGGGGGAAGGGGCTGATTTGAGACAGGATTTTAATGCAGCTGGGACTAATACTAATCAGAACTGTAACAAATGGGATATACAGGACAAATGTTAAACTCCATCAACTGAATAACAACATAGTATGATTCAACATGAACTGCAAGTGTTCACCAACACTTATTGGGCAGGTCTCAAAAACTGAGTGGACCACCAATAGTGTAGCAATTACAACTTACTCTCTCCCTGCTCCCACAGCTGTGACCCATTCCAGCAGCACTGATTGAGGCGTTTGTCCTTTAATACTAACACATTAGCATGGTTTCCAATCATGGGAGAGACACCACTCCCAAAACTTGATGACACTTATGCAGCTTTTGTATTCAGTCCAGCAATGACCAAACTTTGTCCTTTGTGTGACAGTGCTTTTATACCTTTCGGGACACATCATTCCCTTAAGCGTTCTCTGCAACTACCCTTCTACCTCCCCTGGTTTGAGCAGGCATAAATATAAGGTAATAAATGGATGCTGTCCTTTTTGGAGTAAGAAACACACACACACATATCTAACATACAAAAACCTACCAAAAGCATAGTAAAACCATGTCCATTTTAAGCCAGGCAGCCAACCTAGCAACCAAGTCTCTTAACATATTTTAATCGCTGGCATACTCTGCCACAAGAAAAATATACATGGCTAGGTCTGTAATACTTTAAACAGCTGTTTACTATAGCTAGGTTACAAAATAAACACTGCTGCAGGGGCCATGTGTTCAATATACTCTAACCACAACAGCATCAGAACCCACCCTCAGTCTGCTCTGTGGTCACCGCGGCTGACCCAGCGCCTTACCCTCTTCCCCTTGCTTCTGATCTGCCGCTCAGACAACAAGCCCAGAATCATTTGTCATTGCACAATTGGAGCTGTCTTAAGGAGAGGAGCCTCATCGGAAAGTCTCACTTGCTTTTCACACATTACTCCTCGTTACTCTCCCTCATCCGTGTCCCTCAGTCCTGGGCAGCACCCCAGCACTTCCAAGTGAGAGAAGCAAGCTCCAGACCAAAGCACGGGGAAGGCGTTCTCAGCTTGTGGAGGGAACTGGAGTGTAGGGCAGAGGGCTTTACTCCACACAGTGGAAACATTTAATGCTGGATTCAGCCAACTGGTCACTTAGATGATCAATCCCAACTTCTGCGAGCCTGCTCCACTCCAGAAGATTCAACAGCCAGATTTTTAAATACAGATATTTAAAATACAATGAAACTTTATGGTGAAGTGCCTAACACAGCTGGTTATAAAGCGTTATTCCAGTAGGCAAGTGACAAGGAGCCTTTCCTTGCTGGAGAGATGCCTCCTGAAAGAAAACAAAACACCAAAAAAAAAAAAAAAAAAAAAAAAAAAAAAAAAAAAAAAAAAAAAAAGAAAAGAAGAAACAAACCAACGAAATGGACAGTCTGCTCAGTGGGAGGGGAGAGGCGGCAGTAAAGCTGATGGAGACAACACCAAGCAGCAGCTACGTGCCTGTTCTCAGAGTTTGCCTGAGCTGTTCAGATTCACAGACATGCACCGGCACTGCTTGACCTTCTGAATTTTCTTGAGTCGGAACGGTGGGTCCAGCTCGGGGCACTCCAGCTGCACGGTCGAAGAGGTGACCTTGTGTGGCTTGCAGAAGGCGCAGGACTGGAAGGACTCCTCCTCCTTCTTCACGTGCCGCGGGATGTAGAAGGAGTTGCACTGCCCGTAGCAGAAGCGGTTGATGATGGTGCGGCTGATGCAGCCCTCCTCGCTGACCGTCTGCCGTAGCGGCTGCGTCTTGCACCAGTCGCTCTTGAGGTACTTCCTCTCGGTGACCACCAGAGCCTCCTGGCTGGAGGCCAGCACCTCCTTGTTCAGCTGCTGCCTCCGCTCCGAGTGGTTGCTGCTGCTGCCTTTGTACGGGGAGGGAATGGCACCTGCGGGGCGGCTCTTCTTGGCCTCCGACACTCGGACCAGTGCTGCCATCAGAAGAACGGACAGGGCAAATTTCCAAACCATCCTGCAAAGGCAGCACAAGGCACTGTTAGGAGAAACATACTTTCAAACCACAGAAATGGAATGGAGTTGGTACTTCACGCATGCTTTTAGAAGAAGTGGAGATCTTATCGTCTTTATAATCCCATCACTTTTACTAGATTAGCTCTATTCTACGGTGATTACTTATCAGGAAGAGGCCAGGCCCTTTGGAAAGTCACACTGCTCCCCCTCACCCCTCCCCAAACTTTCCAACTACTTGTTTTTTCTCCACAGGGACTTTGATGCTTTGGTGGCTGAAGTGGTGGTTTTACAAAAACTTCAGCCAGAAACGTTTCCTCTTTCTCTGTGAAATCCTGGGCCAAACAGCTGGGCAAACTCCTGGCTAGCAAAGGCTCTAGAAACTCTTGCCAAGATGGTGAGAGTTGATTTGGGATGGCAGGGAAGAGGGGAAGGGAATACGAGGTTACACAAAGTGCACACCCATGTCTCTTTAGCCCCCGAGTCCCAGCCCAGCCTCATTCTCCACAGAAGTAGCAGGGGGTGTCCAAAAAATTAGTTTTATTATTTTAAATTGCTTCTTAAGTTTCTTAGGGCTCTTATGGCACTTACAGGCTTGTATTTGTTGTCTTTGTATGAGGCCAAAACCTTGATGGATTTATTTTTGCAGTAAGAGGAAATGCTTAAACACAACTTAGAGAACTTGACAAATGCAAGGCCTCTTGGGAAAATGGTTTAAGAAGGTTTGTAAACATGAGAGGATTCAATATTTATTTTAGATTTTAAGGAATAGGTTAGAGCATAAGCTTGTTGCTAAGTTAAAATAGTCAGCCAGATGGCAAAAATATTTTTTCTATGGTTGTCTGTTACACATTCTTGTTCTGTAGAGCATCTCTTGCCAGCTCTTGTCCAATTCATTTTAGTGATGGGTCTCAATGTGCTTCCAGAACATCAGACTAGGTGTACTAAATTTCCTTATAAAGTCTCACTAGTGAACTGTTCATTTAGCGGTTCATTTCATATCAGTCTCCCTGGGAAAAGAGAACAGAGAGGCTCTTCAGCGCCAGAAGTGGGTGCACAGAAGCTTCCCATCCAAATCTTTCTTTATTCTTACTGAATATTTTTATAGTGTACAGAAGAAAGACTTACCACTCTCCTCACAGTAAAGCTTCAATCCCTTCCAATTATTTTAATCATTGGAATTATTTTATTTTATTTTTCCTTTAGAGAGATACCTAGGCAAAAAACTACCATCACACTGGTAATTAGTGTGTCTAATGCCTAATGTTCAGGATGTTGCACAGGTCATCTGGAAAACATGCCACTTTCCAAACAATGACACCAAAAGATCAAAAAAGTGTTTGTAGTAAAGGTGCAAAAGAAGACAAGAATAGCAGTAACAAATGCTTCTCACCTAATAAAGCAGACCTAACATGTTTAACTTCTGTGGAGATAAAGAAAAGGAACTACTCTAGCAGATAGATGACATTGCTTAAGGTTATTTTCTAAGTCTACAAGATCTCAATGTCAGACCTGGGCTAAATTTCTAAGGGGAGAAGCCTGAAGTGCTGAAGGAAACAAAAGTGCCAATTGTATAGCTGTAAACAGAGGATGTTCTGATGCAGAGTTAAATATCACCCAAGTGTATGTTTGAAAGAGAGCCACCTTTAAATGGAAATCAGTGCTTCTAAACCACAAAAAAGTTCATTTATCTGCAATCTCCCCATGCCATCTCCCCACTGAACACCCACTGTAGCCATGGGTACTTTAAATCAGTGGCCTATTTTCACACTGCTTAGCATTCAGCATGCAAGTCCAGAAATTTTGTCCAAGGTCTTTAAACGAAGCAAGACTAGACTTGGCTTTACAGGCAGGTATTGTCGCCAAGTGCACTGGATGTCAACCCACACAGCCAGGCCAAAACCTAATCAGGTAATTAGTTTCAGTTGAATATAGTGTTCCATGCTTCCTTTCAAATTGTTCTCATGTTATTCTGCACTGATGGCTGCATTTCAGTAGTAGATAAAACAACTGATTCCCAGTGCTTTGTGTTTTATACAGAAAGGGGAGGAAAAGAAACCAGATTTACAAACCTTTGTCTTCTAGAAAAAGACAGAGGTGAGCTCTCCACAAGATGCCTAATGCCACATTTCTCAGGCATATTCTTCTACTCTTTTGAGACACAAATACTGCCTCTCCACTCTCATTTTTCTGATCCTGGCACAGAAGAGGACAGCAAAGGTCAGAGGGAGAGACACACCCTTTCCCCCACCCCCTCCTCTTTTCTTGGGATGATCTTTAAGGGTTTTTCCAACTTTCATGGCTCTACAATTCTATGAAACCCTGTGTTACCACGCCCGCCCTTTCTCTTCATGAAATGAAACTTGAAAGGACATGTTTCCTTTTTGTGCCAAGAGTGGTGGTCAAGCAGAAATCCTATGTAGGAATTCAGGAAAGCTGACAGAGAACTAACAACAAAGTCTACAATACAGAGAAATACTATAGCAGTATTCTAATTGCTTAAATGGTTTTATGTAGGCATGGAGAGCCATTCAATAGAGTAAGTAGGATTTATTCAGTAAGTCTGTGTTTATAACTAATAAAGCATTATTAATCAAAGCCACTATTGTACAGTTACAAACCAAACACTGCAATATGTGCAAGTACTTCTACAGACAGGTAGGAACACACCACCTATTTCTGTCATTGATCCTTATCAAACTTGAACTTTAAAATATTTACATAACGGAGTAATGATCTATTCTACACTAGCAGGTCAAATGTGCATTCTGTCAGATCGTGGAATTTCTAATCACAGCGTTACCCCTTACTAGCCTGCAAATCACCCCTTTCTAAGCCCTGGCATACAAATCCCCTATTCAAGCAAGTAAGGGTGCAAACAAGGTCACACGGAGCCAGCAACTTGCCAAGGACTACACATATATTTTCAGCGCTCACATGCAAAGAGAAGGGAAACTTCAGGACTCCCAGAGAAAGAGAACATTTTGGCAAACTGAATTTGAGCCCAAAGCAGGACGGTGAATGCTGTCTGTCTGCAGACAGAGCGGGATGAGAAGAAACACAAAACGTATTGGAGAAGAATCTGGCTTTTGGCAAGGACAGGGCTGTTCTGCCCTACTCAGATGGAACAGAATGAAACAGCATGTGGCTGAGACCACGCAAGTGAGAACTGCCTCAAGAGACCAACACCCCTACAACGGGCACCAGTGCCAGCCTGGGCCCCCCATTCCTGCTGCACTGGGGGTCCCCACAGCAGACCTAGAGGCAGATCCCTTGTGACAGCTTTCAACTTCTTCAAGCATTGTTGCCAGCTGCTGCCAGTTCCCCCCAGACCTTTTTTCCAGTGCATGAGCTGAGAATAACTTAACCTTAGACAAGACACCCAACAAGGCTTGGCTGCATTTACATATCACGTGGCAAGTTTTTTCTCCCTGGGATAAGGAAATCAGCATCAAGTATGAGTTCATAAACTCATCAAAACCAACATGCTAGAGCTGGGCTATCAGGCTCAGGAGTGTAAAAAATCCTTGGCATGGAAGCGAGACTGTCAAAACCCAGCTCTGTCATTCAGAGGTCAGGTCACTGCCAGGAGGGGAAGACCCAGCATCACTGTGCCTGCCCCTAGCTTTATTTCTTCTTTGTATCCAGTTACTGTGCCCTAAAGTACCTACCAGTCCAGGCTCCCTTTTCCATACGGATCTCCTGACCCTGTAACTCACGCATTCTTGATAGTAATCCATCTCCAGAGCAGGACAGGCAGTAATGTAACCCCCAAAATTGCTTACAGTTTTGTGCTTAAGGAAGTTCTCTCTGCGTTGGAGCATTGGATTTGCTTTCAGAATTCAAGGTCATAGTTTTCAGAGAAGTCTCCCTGAGAAGAAGTGGGTGCTATGGTCTGAAATGCAGGACAGGAGGTAACACCAGTGCCCATCTGTGCTGAGTGGCTGCTCTGATGTTTCATCTAGTTTTCAAAGTCACAGCCAGTTTCTCAGCTCACTATGAAGATTCTTACTGGGAATTCCTGTTTTGAAGATCAGCCTACTTCAAGGTTGCAAGTGGACAGAAAGAAAGAGGGATGTAACTGAAAAATCATTGTGATATTTTATGTTAGCTGCTAAGAAATCAGGAGGTGTGAGACCCACTGTCTGCTTTAGCACCTACTTTGTAGCACATACAAAGCACTCAGCATTATCAGCATTCCTGGAAGCATCCAACTCTGATATAGGTATAATACAATCATCTCTTCACCAGACCTTTGTGGAGGGAATTCAGAAATAAAAGTTGCAGGCAATTTAAAACAAAACAAAACACAACAACCACCAAAAAACCCACCAACCAAATCAAAACCAACCCACAATCAAAAAATCCCAACTTGCAAAACCTGTCTTACCACGGAATTTGAGACTCTATGTATTCAGCTTAACCAGAGTTTGGATTCATGAAGAAGATGTAGTACTATAAACCTATCATACACACATCAGAAGTACAGTCTCAAGTACTGTAAGAGCCAGTGGTTGGGAAGTTGATAAAAAAAACTCAGAGATTTTTTTCTGCTTCCTGAAAAAATTCTGTTTAATTAACAGCAGAAGAGCTTTCCTTGGACAAATATTTCTCTGTGACTACCAGCGAAAGGCAGGCATTACAGATTAGATTAAATCAGGTCCCATTAGGTAGTACAGTACATAGATGGCCACATTTGACCACCCGTATCACCTGCTTCCAGTTTCCACCCTGCAAACTTTAGAGACATGAGAGCTCTCCTTAGAAATCACTTGAGCATGGCTGAATGCAGGAAGCCCTGTTGCAAAAAAATTTTTTTCTAGGGCCCCTTTACTTTCCTATTAGACCTAGTCAGAAAAAGAATCTGTATAAACCAGTCATATGTATAACAATATAAGAACACGATGTACATGGTTAGTTCTCACATTTAAGATGGGACACAAGAAGTGTTCCTTGAAGACAAGCCAGGCAATAGCTTTTCAAAGAACTAAAACTTGGCTTTAGCAACAGATGTGGATAGCCAGGAAATATCAAATTCTCTATCGGGAAGCCAAAAATGCTATTTATTTAATTTATTAATAGTTAGGCATGATTCTAATGGTACAATGTTCTCATAAAGACTTCAATAAAGACTAATCAGGCATCTTTGTGCAAAGGAGGTATTTGGTGCTAACTTTTCTCTTTTAACTATCCTTTGGAAACTATTTCTCCCATGTCACAACAGCATTAGCAATAACTGAATACTGTACTGTATCTCCTGTTGCAGAGACATGGGCGTCTTATTAAATCATTCCATCATTAATAGATTCCCATTACTAAATTGCCAAGAGTGAGGCCAGCTACAACAACAAAACATGCAGGAGGCTGGGCAGACCAAACTTTTAAAAGTGTAGAAACCACAATACTGCAGCTAGGATTCAGTTATTCAGATCTGCATTGCAGCAGTAGTTACCATGTCCTGGGAGTACAACACATCACTTTTCAAAACCACTGCACTAAATAAAAAAGGCAGTAATTATTTAAACACAAATATCTAATGCCATTACTGAAATTTACAGGCAGAAATGTTTCCATTCTTGTCCTCTAAGAACCTTCTACAGTGATTTGAAAAAAAGCTATTTTGTTGCATCACAGCCCTAACAGAGGACGGCTGGGGGGAAAACATTTCTTTCAGACTTAATAAATTCCTAGTACCCTCACTGGCTTGCTTGAATGAAGATCCCTTCTCCTCTCCATCCTCCTCTCTCCTTTCCACAAAGGAGATCCATATTCTTCTCTTGCACCAGCATGTCTCTCCCAGAGTCAAGACTGCCTACAGGGCACACCACAAAGCTTTGAAGGAGCCAGGCAAGGTTCTCCTGCAGGCTGGACATCTCAGGAGTCACACTCTACTGTGCAAGCTCTTGCTTTGTTTCTTGAAAAGGGGAGATGAAATTAGCTTTCAACAATGCCAGCCTGCATTCTTCAGGACAGCATTTCCCCAATAATGCCAGAACTTAGAAGTTCTCCTTATCAAGGTAGCTCCTGCAAACAATGAACCTAAAGTATTGAAAAATAAAGTAAATCATCAACAAAATGGAAGTGTGTAAAAGACACTGGTGGAGACAGTCTACGCTAGTTGAAAGGATGCTCCACTGTAGTAATTCAGCTCTAACTAAATAGATTTTCTACTACCAGGACCTTTACCTTGAATTTTCCCTGAAAAGACTGGGAGTTTAAAAGAATTTTTGATCCATGCAAAAAAATATAAGAGGAACCAACAATTCAGCCAATTATTCCTGTCTTTCGGCAATGTGTTATTTTTAGGACAGAAGGAATAGTAAAGAAAACTGGAAAGTAAACTAACCCTTGAAACTAAAACTAAGCAGCTTGCATGTTGGGTTTTTCCTTCTCATCTTGTCCTCTCTTTCTTATCTGCCTTTACTGCCAGCAGAAATTCATGTTTTATTCTTCCCTTCCAGAACTTAACAGAAGCTCATTCAAACCTTGTTTAAATGTATCTGGTAATTTCATCAGTGTTACAGGATCACACTACTCCAGCAGTTCTTCTTTGCACTCTCATCCTGCCACAAAATATATTGACCTAAATATTGTATAAAATATTGTATCACTGATTTATATTATTCAGCTCTTCATAGGCTGAATTCTTCTTATCTTGCATAGCATTTAAACCTGTGATTTTTTGGTTTTTGTTTTTGGGGTTTTTTTAAATAGTATGAGTGCTGGAGGAATAGAAAGAAGTTTCTTGTTTTTTAAACCAGGACCAGAAGTTTGTGAGGAGAGTCACTGAAGAACCTGGTTTCAAACTGTAGCTCCAGAAGACCAGAGAGAGGGGAAGGAAAGTATTGATGAAGTCAGCTCTGGTATTTTGACATACTTTTATGATTAAGGAGATGGAAATAGGGTTAGGCCACTTGGAATGAATATAGAGAGGTTGTCAGGGAAGTAGAAATGAGACAAGGAAGGTTGAGGCCATCTGGAATTAAATCTGGCCAAATATGTCAATGAGAACAGGAAGGGCTTCTTCAAATTTAACTATAGCAAAAGGAAAACCAAGGACGATTTGGAAGCATTATAAATGGAGCGGGGATGCAGACACAGAGTGACTGATAATCTTTGCACTGGTCTGATAGGACATCTCTTAGGCATCTCTGACCCAGGAGACAAGCATAAAGGACTGGTGGAAGGAAGGAGGATTGGGTTAGAGAGCATCTAAGCAAATTTGACATCCACAAGTCCATGGGCCCTGACAGGCTGCGTCCATGAGTGCTGAAAGAAGTGGTGGACACCATAGCAAGGCTGCTCATGATCATCTTTGAAAGGGTACGGCAGCCAGGAGAGGTGCCTGAAAACTGGAAGAAAACAAATGTCACACCAGTCTTCAAAAACTGCAAGAAGGAGAACCCAAGGAGCCCCCGGCCAGTCAGCCTCACCTGAACCCTGAGAAAACTGATGGAGCACCTCATTCAGGAGTCTATCTCTGGCCACAGGAATGGTGATCAGGAGAAGTCAGCATGGATTCATAAATAAAAAAATCATGCTTGACCAACCTGATTGCCTTCTGCCATGAAATGACAACCTGTATAGATGAGGGGAGAGCAGTGGATATTGTCTACCACAACTTTAGTGAGGCTTTCAACACCATCCCTCACAACATCCTCATGGGCACAGTCAGGAAGTGCAGCTGGATGAGCAGACAATGAGGTGCACTCAGAACTGTCTGAATGGCAGATCCCAGAGGGTTGTACCCAGTGGCACATGGCTGAGTTGTCACTTGTGGTGTCCCCCGAGTCCAGCACTGGGCCCAGTGTTGTTCACCTTGTCCATCAATGCCTCAGGTGAAGGGCAGGTGCCTCCTCAGCAGGTTCACTGACCACACAAAGCTGGGAGGAGGGGGCAGTTCCCCAGAGGGCTGTGCAGCCCTTCAGAAGGAGCTGGGCAGGTTGGGGAGCTGGGCAGAGAAGAAGTGACTGAAATTTATCAAAGGCAAGAGCAGGGTCCTGCA